CTTCTTTTTATCTCTTCTCTGTTTCTTACATTGTTTCGAACACTGATATCATTCCTGATGATGCTGACTGTGAGTTGGCGAAAGCTCGAATTTGTTTTTCAATAATAAATTGAAACAATGATTTTAATAGCAGTTTTATACTCAATTTACAAAGAAAAAATATAGAATAAGAAAATATAACGTCTTTATACACACAATATTCTCTGCTTTAGGTAACCGCTTGCAGACATGATTCTTACAATTTCTGTTCTTGAATTTCAAAGTTCCTTAGCAGGGCTCCGTATGGTCCGGTTTGGTCCCAATTTTTGAAATCGGACTATAACTTTTTGGGACCAGGACCGCTGCGGATCATTCTCCGTATAAAGGCATGGGACCAGGACCGCTGCGGATCATTCTCCGTATAAAGGCATGGGACCAGGACCAATTCAGATCATGAAAATTTTTTTCTGCTTATTGGCTGACCAATGATAAAAATAGTTCGTCACGTTATTCTGTTACTTTTTTTATGCTGGACCACTTTTTCTATTGAGGAAGCTTCTTGAGGTGATGCGTCATTTCGGACTGGAGCAAATCAAACCGATTACGATAACTAACAAGTTCTCTAGATACGTCTTCTACAGTCCAAATCACATCATGGCGACATTTCTTGACTGTTGAAATCCTGTCAGAATTTCTTAAAAAACATTTTCCAGCCAAGACCAGTTCGGATCATTAAATTTTTTAAAAACTGACCAAGTCAGACCAAATGGATTATGGTCCGGTCCCACTTGGTCCTGGACCGAACCATACGGAGCCCTGTTCCTTTGTGATGCCATCTGTCTGTTACAATAGAATCGATTTTTTTCTTACATCTTACATCTTCTAATTCAATGTGCTGTAACTCATTCTGTAGAGAATTCAATTCTCTATCAAACAGATTAATCAAATTGTCAGTATGACCATGACGTTAAAGTGATTAAAAGTCAAGTTTTACTCAAAAGCTTTCACTTCTTAAAATTAAAACTTCATGTAATTAAATTGTGCATCATACTAAATTAACTTTTGAGAATTATACAATATTACATGTTGTTCAGTGTTCTATGGTCTACTTTAAAACTAAACTTTCCTTTTAACTGAAAAACCTGACTTTATAAATGCTATTTTGAACAGAGAATTGAATAAAATTGGTTAAACAGAATTCTATTTTTCAAGCGTATTAGTATCTATTATCTATCTTATTACATTTTATTCATTATGAAATATTCAAATGTTATTTATGAGTTAATGCCAACAGATCTTCACTTTTTCCATTGCGATCACCTAATTTAAATTATTTAGAGGAAAAACAATGTTTCTTTTTGAGCTGACAAATTGTTTCTAAAAACAAAACTATGCTTGAAGAGGACGAAACGAAAATTCCAAACCCATAGCTACCACGAAATCAACAGGAATCTATGCTATACAGTTTTGAAGATGATAAAAATGAACCGATATCATCTAATCAAGTTTTAGGTGGTGATAATTTGTACCAGTCCTCGAATGTTCTTACTTGCAACAAAAACTAAGTTTAGAAGGAACTATTTCAATTAAAAGTCAGTTAGACTATTATACAAAACAAATTACGATTTAAACCGTACATTAACAACGACCTAGTTTTTTTCTTTTCTATTCTTAGACCATGATCGAGATAGAAAAGGTTTTTGACCTTTTACTCTCCTATTTTGACCAAAAATGTGGATCGGAAACAATGTCATTCGTTATACCATGGAATTCTGCATCGAATAGAGTATTTTAAAGTATGATAACATTTGATAGTATGAAATGACAATTAAAATACTTTCAAGTACATAGACAATGATCGAGATAGAAAAGGTTTTTGAGCTTTTACTCTCCTACTTTGACCAAAAATGTGGATCGGAAACAATGTCATTCCTTATACCATGAAATTCTGCATCGAATAGAGTATTTTAGAGTATGCCAACATTTCATACTATGAAATGGCATCTAAAATACTTTCAAGTACATAGACAATGATCGAGATAGAAAAGGTTTTTGAGCTTTTACTCTCCTATTTTTGACCAAAAATAAGGATTGGAAGCAATGTCATTCGTTATACCATGAAATTCTGCATCGAATAGAGTATTTTAGAGTATGCCAGCATATGATAGTATGAAATGACAATTAAAATACTTTCAAGTATTAGTTCTTCCTTTATTCTTCTATTGAATCGAAAGATACACGTGCTGCATAATCTTGTAGTACATTTTTCCATCATAGTTTTTTCTGCTAATGTAACGTAAAAAAGAGGAAAACATGGTAGTCCACATACCCTTCTTTCGGTTAGAGTAGCCATATTGAGCCTTTTTGCATATCTTCTGGCAGCTAGACAGCTAGCTAGCTTTCATGCATTCGTGTCAATAGCAGATCATCTGCTGTTATTGGTAGATAACTTTTTTCAACAACAAAGTAAACACACAAGAAACAATTTACTTGTTGTCATCCTTTGGTCTATATGACACTCAATCAGATTCTTTTTCACAGCTGCTTGTATCCCCGTGAAAAAATTTTCGGGATTTATTGGGTTTGTAATCACTGTACGGGACGGGATCGCGACGAAAAAACTCAATCCCGCAGGGTACTATTAAACATCCTCTAGTAGACTTGTGATAGTTCATGATTCCTTATACTGCAATTTGTTGATGATGAGAACTGTTTCTAACGTTTACATTCATTGAACCAAAATGGCTTCTCATCTGGCTTTTCTCATGGCTTCAATCTGGCTTCGTTTCTGGAAAGGAAAGAGATTTTCAACAGATCCAGCCCTTTACTTAATCCTCGAGGGTTTTATAATATGTCTGGAATCGAATTTTATAACTTTCTTTAAAGTCATTGTCGATTTTATAGGAAGTTACGAAACCGAATGTTTGATTTTATATAGAATCGAGACGATTTTTCTGCACAGTGGACAATGATCAGTATAGATAATGATACTTCTTCCAAGTAGATATGGCCGCATTCGTTTCATACGTAGTAATATAGCTAGTGTTTCTTTCTCAATCGTATCATATTTCTTCTGTGTTGATGTAATAAGTTGTGAATGATAATATAAATTCCTGAACTGCCCATCGATTTCTTGCTGTAAAATTGCACTAATTCCAACGTCAGATGCATCGGTGGATAAAATGACTGGTTTGGAATCGTCTGGACAACTAAGAAATAGCGGTGGTTCTGTCAACAGTTTTTTTAATTGAAGAAATTGGCTTGTGTTAATGACTTTGGTTCCTTCAAATTCAGAATTGCGCTAACTTTTTCATTCAGTGGTATGATGCGCTCTTACTAATTGCATGACCAAGATAATCAATATGCTTTTGCACAATGCTGCATTTAGGCGGGTTCAATTGAAAATTGTTGCCATTCAGAATTGAAAGTACTTGTTCTAAGTGTTGTGAATGTTCTTCATATGAGCGAGAAAATATGATGATGTCGTCCAAATAAACAATGCAAAATTTTCGACATGGAGATAAAGTATTTGACATAACACATTGAAATGCTGGTGGACTATTCTTTAGTCCTTGAGCTAATACATTGAATTCATACAAACCAAACGGAGTAATGAATGCTGTCTTGTGGCGATCTTGTTCTGTAATTGAAATTTGCCAAAATCCGCTTTTCAAGCCTAATCTAGAAAAATATTGATAGCCAGCACCTAACGTTTGTATTGGTCTGCTTAACAAACAAATCGAACTGTAGAAAACTTCATTTTCATGAAAACTCCACTAGGATCTACATATTTTAGAAAACACATTTTTTTGTTTAATTATTATATCTTCTATATGAATTGTTTATAACATCACGCTTCTATATCAAATAGAACTTGATGATGCGTTTACGATTTTGTAAATTCATCATAATCAAATAAACCACTAACTTCTCTTTTCATTCCAAAATGCGTATAAGAATCATTCATGTTTCTGATCTTTTCTGAGTATTTCTTTTGTTGTCTAATCTGAACTGCTTGAAAAATATTTACTATATAAACAGCTTTTATGATAGTATAATCATTACATTCGCATTAAACTACTAATGTTCAAACTTCTCTTATCAACAACAAAAGGATTCTTTCTCTCTGTATATTAATCATCTATAACAGATCTATCTAATATATTAACCCTCTATCATCAGATCTATAGTTACATCTATGTATGAAATTTTCTACTGAACGTAGATATATATATAGATGATCAGTATAGTCTTTATCTTTATCTGATGTATCGTTTCATTTGTTTATTACCAGGATTTGTCCTGTTTTGAAAAAGGAAAAAAGAACAATGACAATGAATAAAATTAAGAAATACTACTAGCATAGTAATATCAATTCCAATCACTCAACACGGTTGTTTTCTTTTACCTCTCAAAGTTTATCGACAACTGTATATTTGTAAGAATATTTCGAACGACAAAATTACACAATTCAGACCTAAGTTTCGTGCACAACAATATGAAAACTCCACTGTACATGACCCGTTGTCATATGTACTAGAAGATTACCTATCCAAACAGAAAATAACGTTAGAACGGGAAAAAAGGTTTGTGTCTGAATTAATTACTTTAGGTGTTGGTATTGCAAGTCTTAGTTTATCATCATACAATAGTATTCAAATATCTAATATAAAACAAACGCAAACAAAAATACTTGAACACATACAGCAACGGGATGAATTACTGCAATCAACAATAGCTTCGGACAAACTGATCGAAATAGGAAAATACGAATGAGTGAACATCAATCAAACATAAAGAAGTTAGTGTCTAGTTCAAAACTAGTTGAACACATAGAAAAATTTAACCATCAATTTGATTTTTTGAACGTAAAAACATTAGCTTGGGAGAGTGACTGGAAGAGGAGAATAATTAAGGAGAGTATACTAACACAAGAATCGGCGGGAAAGAGTATTAATGAAGTCGATCATATGCTTCAAGTTTTTGGATAGCCCTTAAAAGGGCACTTTCGCGACCGGGTAGACTCATCAGTTCGTTCCGAACAGACGAACGAACTGATGAGTCTAGTGTATAAGGAAAAAAAGAAAAATTTATCATGTATTCTGTTTTATGTTCTTTTTTCTTCTTTTTATCTCTTCTCTGTTTCTTACATTGTTTCGAACACTGATATCATTCCTGATGATGCTGACTGTGAGTTGGCGAAAGCTCGAATTTGTTTTTCAATAATAAATTGAAACAATGATTTTAA